GAAAGAATAAGTTGGATTAGAACCAAGCAGGATTTGATGTGTTCTGAAGAGCTTTCTGCCAGCAGTTTAGGCATTTTTCAAGTGTCTTTGGCTTGGACACCATTATTGTATTGAGCATTACAGTGTCACACAACAGGATACAACAAAATTTTAAAAGGGGACTGACTAGCTGAGGATGAATCTTCCTGGAGCAATGATGCAAACTAATTAATTTCCAGTTCTTTCTGAACAAAAGTGACCTCTGTGCCACAGCAGTACAAAACCTGTGGGCTTTCATTGTGAGAAAAATATGCAGTGACACCAGTTTAAGTCTGGATTACTGCTCCTATCTTGTATTACTAGGGAAGAACAGGAACTTCCAGCTTTGTGTGACGTGGTTTCTTGTCTAAATGGGAGATTGTGACAATCTTTGGATGTAGAGACATTCTTAAAGCATTTGAGAGCTTTTTTAATGACTGATTAAATATTGATCTCATATAAATTATACATGTATCATGTGAACCTTTCTGGATAGCTTGAACAGGAATTTTCCTGCTGTGAAAGTTTAAAGCCATCGTGCATTTCAAGTTCTGGTGCACAGGGTTAAGAAACATGAAACCCCCTTCCCATGCTGTTTGTTATGTAGCACCTGGAAGTCAGCTTTGTTTCCACCAACTTGCCTAAAAATGGAGTGCAAAGTTTGTCCTTTTAGAAGGATCTATTGTAAACAAAGTGTTGTTGGGTTGTTTGAATAAAGAGAATGAGGTATTTCTGTCGGATGATGATTGAGCCTCTCATCTTCTATATCCTACCCCAATTCACAGGTTGGTAGGGATCACACTACAGGCTAATGGGGACTAATGAAGTTTTCTCAGTAGCCCAGAAGAACTAGAAAAATGCTGTAGTTTCTGGCAATAAACAGGCATCTGCTCCAAAGTACAATATCAGAGTTTCCCTAAATCATAATGATATATTCTCATATAGAACTTCTGGTTTTAAATTGCCAGCCTGTACAGAAACATGTTTTTGCATGTTGTTCTTCTCAAAAAGAAGTGGTGTTTTTTTGGGTCCCCCATCCCCTATTTCTGTAGGGAATGATGTTGTAACAAAGTGAATATAAAACATTCTTCCATGTTGTGTTCTACTCATTCCAATCCATTCTTTCCATACGATCTCTCTGTAAAACTAATGTATTTGAGTTGGAAGGTAAGTAAAGGAAAGACTCTCAGTAACCCAAAGTCAACACAGTGAATGATGTCAGGTTCCCAGTCACTGGTGCTGCCCCTCAGAAGATGGTGTGTAAGGGGAAACACGAGTCTTCTTTGCTCAGGAAACATCTGGTTGATGCTTCATTTCTCAAGCAGGTCATTGGCTGTTTTTATAATTTAATGGAACAAAAAATGTGGGAAGACAGGAACATAGACTTCTGATATTAGTGCATAGTAGTAGATGATGTATCTTCCCACCAACACTTTTGTTTCCCAATATGTTAATTTTCTATGTATAAAGAACATTTTCAAAAGGGATCTAATGATACTTAAATTTCTCTTAGCTGAGAGTAATTCCTTCCTTAGCATAGATTTGCCTTCCTCTAAATGGGAGGATAGTTCATAACCAAATTTACTGTCTCACTGCAGTCCTCTGATCAGAGGAAACTACTAGACTTTCACACAGAAAACTTTGTTTTCACTTATCTCAGTTAAAAGACACTGAAAACTTCCATACAAAAATAGAAAGGAAGGCTTACAGCAGGAGGAGAGTTGCTATAAATCCAGATGGACTGTAGGGAAGATAACTGCTTTTTGAGGAGCAATAAAAAATAACAAATCTTAATAGCAGGATTAGTTTTGCTGATTTTTTTTCCTACCACTCTGGCTTATAACTGCAGACTTAGGAGGAATCCTGATCAGTAAGATAAATAAAGTTGGTGTTTAAGCATCCTACTAATTATTCTCTGCACCTGCCAGTGAACATATTAATTAGGATTACATATATGCACATATAAAGAGAATGTCATCTTTCTCTGTAGTTCAGTATTCCCTGTATGTTGAGAACTTGACCATAAACAATTATTCTCATCTGGAATCTGAATTATGAATGTATCCTGGAATCCTGCTGTGAGACAGGAACATTTTACATGGGAACAACTCTCCACTGGAAACCTTCATTTCCAGAGTAAGAACTGCATCCTGTGAGTGTTTCAGTGGAATCTGTCATAATAACCAATTATGTTGAAAGGCCTTGAATACACGTAATAATTTAGCCTTGTGAAAAATTTCCTGCCTCCCTGCTGTGCAACATGTTAAACTGAAAGCTGTTCCTGCAGTGTAAACACAAGTACCTGTAATCCTAAGATTTAAGTGAGTTTGCCTTTATCTGTCCTCACTAGATTTCATGCATATTTTTATATTTTTCTAAGGCCTATTTCATCACTGGAGGCACAAGAGGTTCTCTGGTGGACCTCATGACACTGGAAGAGTCAGTTCTTGCCCCAAGCTTAATTGTTTTATTATTCTTAATCTATGGAAGAAACGCCTGAGAATTAATCATTTTAATAGATTGTGTTGTTCCTAGAATGACAAGTTTGGGGGGTTTGCAGTTCTGCAATATGGAAGGCCAAGGGTTACTTATGTGCTGCACATACTTTGAATAGATGCCTGCTGGGAAGTCACAAGGCTCATTGCATTTCTGCCTGAGCATGTCTGGAAAGGTTTTAAGTCTTTCCCTGTTTCACTTTGAGCTGTGGGGGGTTTGGCTTTTAATATTCCTAGTGCATATACATCTTCCAAAGCAGGATAGAAATTGGGTGTAATTGGCTGGAAATAGATATTTCATATTCAACTGCAACTTGGAGTTATAGTTTAAGAGTAGGTTTTAAATATTTTTATTGAGACCAGGCTACTGCTGTGCATTTTAAAGTTAATGTGTTTTCTCAGCATGGAAGTCATATAATTGATTTGTACATTTGAGTGGATCCTGCAAAAAGCCAAAATTGCCTGGCCAAGCCATTTACCCTGTGAAAGGCTCATGATGCTGTTCAACTATTCAAATTAAACCAAGCAGTAGGAACATTCTTCCAGCAGGAAATTACTGTGACACTGGAAGGGCCTTTTGTCTCAGAGTGTGAGGTGGGTATGTGAAAGAGTACACTGCCTTCCACTCATTTTTTTCTTTTAACATGGGAATAAACTGACCCTTGATAACACTTGAGGTGTGGTTCTAGGAACCATGAAATTCAGAGCTTTATCACTGAATAATGAGCTTGATTAATTCACTACAATGGCAAGCAGGCACGCCAGTAATTTAGAAAAATCACTTTAAAATCCATTTGGAACAACTTAGAGATTAAGAACAAACAAGTAATCTGAGGATCCTTTAAGGTCTTTCAGCAAAGACAGGCCTAGAAATACCTGCCAGATCATCAAATGCAATTATAGGCATCACATTATAGAAATCATTCCCTTGCATAAAGTGTGTTTCACAATTATGTGTTTAACCTATCTTCTCTTTCAGACTAGTAACTCTGTATGCTCGATATCTTTGCTAGAAAGTTTGTTGTGAAAATATGACCTGAGTAGAGAACTAATATTTTGTTCTTCACCTTTTTTTTATAGTCAGTAGATTTCAGAATATTTTATGCCAATATAAGGGAAGTTTTTTCCAAAGTGTTCATTTTCAGTAATGAACCAAGTTGCTTTGAGAGACTGTGAAGTCTCCAGTTTTGGGGATACTCAAGGCTAAGGGGGACACAAGGCCCTGGGCAATTTATCTGACCTTGAAATTAAAGCCCACTTCAAATTTGGTGCTGCACTGGGCTGTGGGTTGTACCAGGTCATGAGATGATCCCACATGTCCCTTCCAAGCTGAATTATTATAAGAATTTTAATATTAATAAATCCAGGAGATTACAGTGTGAATCCTTCTGAGAAGGCAGCATTATTTTCTTTCTAAATGCTGTTATTTAACAGATGGACTTGAACTGAGATACAGTGAGATGCACAAGTGTATGAAAAAGCAATAATCAAGATCTGTATTAGAAACAGGTACATACACATTTCTGGCAAGATGCTTCTTGTGGGCTGCATTATTGCTTTAGTTTATTATTTTAACTAAAATTATTGGTAGGGAATTGGTGAGAAATCTGAGAAATTCAAATTAAATGAAAGCAGACTTTCTGAATTTTTGCTAGTGAAGGTTAGTATCACAGTGATTACATTATTGAGTGAAAACATGATGACTGTGTTTGGAAAAGGGCAGCAGTAGCAGGCAAACTGAGGCTGTGCTGCACACTCACAGAAATGTTGCTGGTGCCAGTGGTTACTGTTCATTTCCTGTTGCATCCAGCAGCTGCAGATCGGATCGGAAAGGTTAAAAGCTGGGAAAGGGTCAACCAGGCAAGGTTGAGATGTAATAAAAAGAGAAGATGAAATGCAGGTTTAGGGTATCTAAGCATTCCACGATGATCCTCTGGCTTTACCTGAACTGTCACAGCACAGTATTTTTCAGGCCAGCATGCTGAGCCAAGGGGCACTCACTAAATATTAGCCTTATGCATGGTGGGATTCTCTTTTTGTCAGATGGGAATATATGTTCAATCACATTTAATTAAAATTGAATTATTATTAAGGATGTTTAGTGTTAGTAAGTAGAGTCTTCTTCACCAGATCTGGTGCTTGTTACCAGCCTAATTCAATATTTAGGAACAGAAGAAGAAGAACCTTTGTGTTGATTCTATAGAGGCCTTTCCTCTCCCAGGTCCAATGATGGATGTGTCCAATCAACATTTACTGCTGAATACAATGTCCTTTACTGTCACATGCCTTTCCCTTTCCCTTCCCCCTTCAATACTGTGTCAACATTTGGGATGAGCCCAAATCCTAATGTGTGATCTGACCTTCTGACACCGTAGCCCCGTGAGCTACCAACCTGGCCATGCTTCCTGCTCCGGAGTGGGAGCACAAACATCTCTCCCAAGGATCTCCTTCTGCCCATCAATTCTTTTCATGCCTGTTGCTGCTTGTGCATTTTACTGTGGTATAAAAGTCTTGCACGTATTCTTGGTTGCGTCCCCAGAACATGGACGTGGATCTCTTGGTACGTATTTTCTGTGGGAATAAGAATTATGTCTTTTGGAATTTGTAACTGTTGAAATAAGATAAATGAGGGGGAAGAATAAAAAACTGGACTGCAAAGACAGTACAAAATATGAAATTATGTTGGTCAGCATTAAGCAGCATTCTGAAAAGAGAATATGATTTTGGTTTAAAATGATGTAATAACGTATATTCACTATATTTTCTAGTAAAATCTTTGCTTAAATTTCCATTTAAACAACAGGGCAAGTTTTTTTTCAGGTATGTTTGTCTTTTTTTTTCATTAAGCAGGGACATATTTTGAAATATGCAAATTGCATATTTTGGTTTGCTGGGCCAACTAATCAATGAACAAAAATGTTTGACAGAGTCCCAGTAAATGGGACTGTCTCTGACTTGTAGAACTGCAAACCTGTGTTGGTTTAGCACTGTTGCACTGATGGAAACACCAAGTTCTTAGGGAATTCTAGATAAGAAAGCATCAACTTTTGCATGTTTTCTCCTGATATTTTGAAAGGTAAAAAAAACCCCAAAACTGCACTGCTCCAGCCTTGCCTTGCACAGAGGCTCCAACTCCAACACTGTTTTCTTTGTGAGTAATTGTAAGTTCACTGCCCTACAGCGGCAAACAAGGAGGAAAACAAAAAAGATTCCTTTTTTTCACCCCTCAGAATGGCAGTTTCATTAACACCCCATCAGTGGTTTCCACAGCAGAGATCAAAAGAGTGAAAGCCCAGTGACAGTGAGGTCTATTTTTGGTAGTGAAGCATCCACAGAGCTCCTCTGGTTCACTGGGGACATGAGAGGAAACTGCAAATACTGTAGAAGGCTATTCTGATGTCATGTGCTTTTTGGTGGGTTAAAAGGACAAATACCGAGCCTTTCACTTTGGATTCCTCCCTGTCAGTTGCTGTTTATCAAGTAAAGTTGTGGTTTTGTCTACATCACCTACATTGTCCCTCAAACAATTTTTTTTCAAGTACTGGTGAAATGTCATGGAGTAAAGTACATAAATAAGCAGAAAATTAGTTTGGATTTTTCACTTGGTTTTCAAACATACATTAAAAATAGTTAATGGATTTGTTTCAAATGCAAACACAAAACATTTAAGCTTTTCCCACCTCATTTTCCTCCCACTTTTCAATTATTAATTATTACAAATATGATGGGCTAGAGAAAGATGCAAAGAAAGGTACAGCAATGAGGAAAATAAATCCTCAGGTTTGGGGGGAAAATGGGGACAATATTCCAACTGTCATTGAAAAATAAGGAAAATAGTATTTTTACTTTTGTGAAACAATTTAACATTTTTTCAAAATACTAACAGCATTTTCCACTGCTGGAAAGGAGTTAATACTGTGGACAAAACAAAGACAAAGCATTAAATCTGCAGAAGCAAATAACTCCTTCCTTCACTCACAGTTGGGTGGCATGGGCAGCGCTTGGTGTTCATCCCCTCTCACCCTGTTTAAGAATTTTAACATTGAATTTGCTCCATAGCACTGCGTCCCTATCAGCAGAGCCCTTAGGAGAATCCTGCCTCTTTTCCTCATGGGTCTGGGTTGGTTCTGCCTGTGCTGAAGATTTGCTGCCCAGGACAGCACAGTCCAGGTGCAGAAATGTTCATCTCTCCAAAGCCTGGCAATGGACTAAACCCCACCTGGAGGCAGCAATCTCAAAGGACCACAGCCCAGTCACCAAGATTGCTTCAGGTACTACTTCATCTCGTTTGGAACCAAATTTTGGGAATCTTAGAATAGAAATAAATATATTTAATATTACCCTAACTTTGGCTTCAGCAGAGTTACCTCGAGAGCAAACCACACACCCACAGGAAAGGCGATCGTTGCTTAATGGGCTTGAGGCAGCAGATCCTGATAATTTGAGGATGCTGACAAACAAAACCTCTGGGTTCTGATCCAGGGGATGATGTTGCTAAATTGGCAGCCTCGTTGTCTTACAGCGTGACCTTGTGTCCCCAGCCTGGTGAGTCAGCTGGCAGCAGGATCACCGCCTGGAATGTGGCAGAGGGGAAGGAAAGCACAAATACCTACGCACACAGAGGCATGGTACAGTTACATGGGAAGCAACTGAGGGCAAAGCAGCACCTGGAAAAGGGCAGTAAATAGGGCTTAGGAGTGAGGAAAGACTACAGGAAACTGGATACCCAAACACAGGAGAGCCAGGAAGGAGCATCAAAGCCTTTGGAAAGGGCCACAGGTACCGTGGAACAAACAAGGGCACCAGCGGGCACACAGCGCTCGTGGTCTGTGCAGGGATTTGGGAAACAGGACCAACAGAGACACAGCATCTTTTTTTTTTTTTTTTTTTAATCTGAGAAGTCACATCAGCATTTGGTTTCCTTTTTCCTGATACTTTCCTGATGTTTCACGCCAGGTTGGAAAAACATCAGAAAAAAAATTGAAAAAACACAATTACTTGGCTTAAGAAAACATAACTATTTTGCTAATTCTTGCCATTCAGAGACTAAAGTACATCTCTAATATTTCTGTGTAGGAAAAAAATGTAGGATGTGGCCATTACTGAAGAAAATACTGAGGCAAATTCTGAGTTGGGAGTATCAGTTCCTAGGAAGGACCCTCAGGTCTATGTGAGAATCACACACAGAGGTCAGTTCTGGAGCAGATATTATACAGGAATCTTACCCTGCAATTTCACTGTCTCAGTGAATCAGAAACCTCAACACAAATCCTTCAAAATAGCATTAATTCCCTCCTTACTCGAACACACACGTGCACACACAAAACATGTCCCTCGGGCAGCTTTGAAAGTCTGTTGGCTGGCTCTGTAACCCTGAATAGTGCAGAACTGCTTCAAACCCAAGTGCATACTGAGAGCTGGAAACTGGAAGTTTTAAGTCCTCCCCAAATAATGAAACTCAGCAAAATGATGAGCTGCCAACCTTGTTCTTAGATATATTAATTACAGTCTGCAACTGCCAGGGTGAAGTCCTGCACTCATCACTGATTTAAAACAGCCTGTGAAGAGTTCCCGGCTTTGGTTGGTGACACCCAGTGGTGACCATTGTATAAAACAGGCTCCCTGGAACATGGAAATTACGGGCTGTGCCATCACCGAGCAGGCTGGGGCCATTCTTCTCCGAATTTAGCAACAGCGTTTGCTTCTTGCTTATAAAATTGCAAGCAAGGCTTGTGTGAGGCTGTGAGACCTCCCATAAATTGTGCACAGTGACAAGTGTCCTTCTTGAAAAATTCTGCAGATATTTTGTTCCTTCTTCAAGAAATTTCCCTGGATAACAAATAAACTGTTAAATGCCTGACTTTTCCCTGCAGTGCTGCAACAGGTGACATCCTAAAATATTTTTTCTCCCTCCTGAGCACTCTGCTTTGCAATCTCGTGATGTGCAGCTGAACATCAGGCAGTTTCAGAGGGGCCCATTCTAAAACAAATTAAGAAAGTGCAAAATCCCCAGCACTGCATCTGCAGTGGCTGCCCTCTGCTTTCATTTACAAAGGCAGATTATAATGTACATTCAACTTGCATATAATTCATTGTGATCTAAGGTTTTTAAATTTAAAATATTTTATTACCATTAAGGCCCAAACCAAATCTGTTTAGGTCATGGACATTTAATGACAGAAATCTTTCAAAGGGTCCGGACTGCTAGAGACAAATCTTTAAAAGAATAGCAATAGATGGATTAAAAGCCTGGAAATTTTGCTAATCCCATTTAGGGTTAGAAATCCAGCCTTTAGATTCAGCAGGGCTGAATGGGATTATTCACTCAATTCTATTAATAGTTTACTATGTCCATGCCAGGGTCACTTAATATTCGTGTGCTTCTTTTTACACCATCTTTCATATGGGTCTAATTACTGTGCAGAAGATTGATGGTTTCAAGGAACAAACACTGAAATGCCCCATTGGAAAACATTACTGATGTGCATCAAATCGGGAAGAGACATTTGTTCCTGCTTGAGGATGTTATTCATAATAATAAATTCATGGAATCAAGGAATGTCCCTGACATTACTCACATTAATCTAATATTCAATGCAGTTGCATGATGGTAGATTTGCCTAAATGTGATATGCATAAAGCTGTTTGATTTTACTGCTGTCTGAACTCCCAATATCCACAGTTTTCTTGGCAGATACATAAAATTAGCTGTCCCTTGCAGGGGAGTGTGCTGTGTGCAGCATGAGAAATGGGGCTTGTGGGCAGCTTAGATCAGCTTCAGACTGTGGACCAAAACAAACTCAGGGAAGAAATGTGGTTCTATTTTGCACTCAGTTTACATTTCCCAGCCCAGATGAGTAATGGCAGTGAGGGGATGATTTCCCTGGAAGTGCAATATGGTACTGCCATCTAGTGCTGTGCAGCAGGCTCAGCCTCTGCCACACAACTCAAATATAATGTTTTCATACTACACATGGAAGCATTAGCCAAAAAGATCACATTTCCTATCCTTTGATCTATGAAGTTTAGGATTCTGTTGAGTGACATGAAGACTTTGGGTGACATGAAGACTTTGGGTCAGGCTCTGTGATCTGCCCACTATATATATGGAATAAAATAAGATTGCAACAGTGAGAAAGCTCCATAGTCAAACAAAAGGCATGATGGAAACTGTGTTAGAAAAGTGAAGACTATTATCTTCAGAGGCATCAGACGAGTGGAGTTGCTCAATGAGCCAATAATCCCCAGCCAGGATTGGGTTGTCTCTCCTATTAAATAAAACACCCAGAACTCTCAGGTGGCCTACAGATGGTTTCCCATCAAGGTTTTCCTGAGATCATATGGGAAAAATTTGTCAACATTCAAGAATAAGGCAATTTCTTGGTCAATATTTAGCCTCTTGACTCATAATGAAAAGAATGATAATTAAAGTTTTGGTTTATGAGACCAACTTCTGGATGCTGATAAAACACTGGGAGGGAAATGATGTGGAACCACAAAAAAAGGCTGCCAAAGGAAAAACATATTTTAACTGTAAGGACTGAGCACTGTTAGGTAGGATGTGACTAAAA